AAAATCAAGCATAACGTGATAGCAATTTAAATATATGAATGTAAGTTGCAGACACATATCTAAAGAAGGCTGCCTCTGAGGAGCTAGAAATGAACTGGGGATAGGGATGGGCAGGGCAAAGGTACAGCTGATTTTGGTATGTTTTATATAACTGTCTGAACTTCTAAATGATATCCATGAATTATACTGATATTTTTTAAATGAAGTGCTTTTCAAGTGAGGGTGTTGGGGTGAGACACATGACTCTAGATCGTCAAGTTTGGGATTTGATTTTATTCTACTTATAAAGTTAGCCTATTATGTATCATATGTATGTATGTATGTATAACATGTTACGGAAAAACCTGAACAAACTTTTTGGCCGACCCAATAGTTCATGAGTGCTGACTGCAGACACAGGACTCCAGCGCCAGAGACAAAGGAATTTATTCCTTATTGCCAGCAAGCAGCAGGAGCCTCAGGGTCTTTGCTCAACTTCCCCATGATCCTCAGGTCTCGTGGGAACAGTACATCAGGCTCAGGTGGGCACGACACACCTGCGGGTCTGCCTCACAGCTGTGGAACACTGAGTGTGGGGAATCCACTGCTTTTATATAGCAAGCTGTAAGCAAACCTTCTCTTTGTCCAGGGGAATGTTATCTCATCTCTCAAAATTAGCAGCTACACAAACAGCCATGAGAAATGGCTCAGGTGAAAGTATTGTCAGGGCCTTACCATCTTGGTAGACCCAGCAGGAGGTAAATCTGTGATTTACTAGCTGTGATTTTGGGCAGGTCTCTTTACCTATGAAAGGCTCATTTTTCTTACATGCATGATGGTGAAAATACTAATCACCTTGAGCCTGAAATAATCTATGTAAAACACTCAGGATAATGCCAGGCGTACAATTAGCACTAAAGATTTTAATTTTTATCTTTCCAAAGAGAAAACAAAACCCAAAAAAGCTTAAGTTCTGGTCTTTTCCAGAATCCATAAATTAGCAAATTTGAGGACTCTTGCAAATTACAATCTATCTAAGCCTTGGTTTTATCAATTGAAAATGGGGATGGTAACATCCTATCCACAAGATAATGGAAGCACATCACGGGCAGTTAAATATTATCTGCTGCTTCATTTACTGATACTACTAACATGTACCAGGACATCCAACCCTACTACTTACAGTGCAGAAGCATTATTGTATTAACCGTCAAATAAATACCAGGAAGAAACTTTACATCAAAAATACCAAACACGGCGAGTTGTCAAAGATCATAACACAATTTCAACTTTTACTTAAGCTAAATACAACCACTTTCTTTGAAATTCAGTTGTGAAAATAATTAAAGTTTCCTTGTACAATATGTACTTATTTTTTGAACTTTGACAGACATTAATTTTTTAAAAGACAAGGCAAACTGATTTCAACAGATGCTTTTTAAGAGGCTGTTTATTCAAAGGATATCAATTTACAATGCCATAAAATATATGTTGTAAGGAGATTTCTGCATGTGTGTGATTTTATATATTTTTCTGAAGAGGTCCACAGCTTATATCAGCTTCCTGAAGGGACCATCCATAATACTGAGTTTGCACTGTGATGGGTTAATAAGCTTTATGATCGTCTCTATCATCGGATGACAACAAAACTCCAATTAGAACGCTAGTACCAATGTTCCTTCTAGTGCTCCAACAATCTCATCTCTCCTGTAGAATTATTCATGATAAAATATCAAATCACTCAAGCAAATATGTAAAATCCATGGGCAAATTCCTTATATTTTCTAAAGTTAACTGATTTTTGGGGGAAGAATCATTTATGTATTTTTTTTTTTTTTTTTTGCTGTACACGGGCCTCTCACTGTTGTGGCCTCTCCCGTTGCGGAGCACAGGCTCCGGACGCGCAGGCTCAGTGGCCATGGCTCATGGGCCCAGCCGCTCCGTGGCATGTGGGATCTTCCCGGACCGGGGCACGAACCCGTGTCCCCTGCATCGGCAGGCGGACTCTCAACCACTGCGCCACCAAGGAAGCCCCATTTATGTATCTTTTACTTTAAATTTAATAACGAATAGTGTGTGAGATGTATCATTTCTTGTGTTATAGAAATATATATTTTAAAAGTCATATTAATTAGATAACTCATTTTCATGAAAAATGTTTTGATGCCTTTGAAAGGCAGTAGACTTAAATGTTAAGGGCATAGAATGGACAGCTAGACCCCCAGAGCGTCTAATTCAGCTCTATCAATTTCTGCTTTGTAATATCAGGTGAGTTAACCTCTTAATATCCTCATCTCTAAATAAAGGTAATGTAGCTTACCTGTCTTATAAATTCATGTTAAGAAATAAATGAGTTGAGACAGATATAAAGTATTTAAAATAGTGCCTACCACATAGTAAGCAAAAGCTGTATTACCTAGTATGATATTACAGATAATACTTCAAAGCTGATAGCTAAGAGGCAATTGTCCTTATAACACTAAATTTAGAAATATTAAAAACTATTAAAATACTTATCTTTTGCATAAGGAACTTAAAGTGGAGTCAGAAAGCCTTTTTTAATACTTCAATTAATGGTTGAGATAGACAGCATACTCTGGGAAATGTTTGTTTGAAAATGGGTAATACCTTGATTTTAATGAGGTGAATTGTTTGTCATAGATTATAGTCATCTTTTTTTAAAATTACTGCTTCACTAAGCCAAGAATTTTTAAGGGGAAAATTAAAAAAACGCACATCCTGTTTGTGCGTCTTGTCTCAGAAAAGAGAACTCTGTGTCCTCTCTTACACAAGAAGACATTTCCAAAACAGGAGAATGCGATTAATTACCTCTTGATTTAGTTTTCTTTTGATGTGGTCAGGACAGATCTTTAATTTATATGTAATGTTTTGATAAATTCAGGATCACAGTCACCAAGGCGACGCATTTTTTTCATCCTTGTGCTGTTAAAGAAGCAATTGTATTGTACCTTAAACAAAAAGAAAGTCAATAAATAGACTTTTTCAGGATATGAGTTATGACAGAAGTTCTACAAACAGTGTTTTTCTTTGCCAAATAATTCCTTCCGGGGTCTTTTTTTTTTTTTTTAAGAATTATGTAATATCTTTTTTTTTACGCCAGAAAAACAGCTAGGATATGAATTTGACATCACAAGCATGGTGAGATCTGGAGAAGATTCTGAGAATGCTATTTACTTCCATACAAAAGGTCACAGAATTAATTCTCTAAGCCAACATTTGAAATTGGCTGACCAGAGAGCCTTGGATGTTTGGAAAATTAATGGGTGTACGTTCAAAATGTATTTGTTCATACACTTCTAATAAACCCTTTTATAAGACAGAGAACATTGTGTCCAGCTGATTTTACAATTGCCTTTTGAAGAGAGAACTTTGCAAATGGACAAGATCACACTTACAGGATCACTTAACCTAGCTGAGTTAGGAGAAAACTGCTTTTGAAGAATAAATTCTGTGAATTATTTTAGTGTGCTCTGGACTCTGACTTGAATGAATTGTCAGATGATCCCCTGGGACTCTTAAAAATCCAGCAGCTTCACATCTGTCCGTTTATGTCTCTCAAATGATGTCACTGGGGCCCCACCAAGAGTATTCAATGTCAAACATGCACCATTATAACTTTATGTCTATGGGCTACATAAAAATGTCACTTTGGAGAATGGGGTTACATTTAGTGGAGCTGATGGCCATTTTTTTGTTCAAACTTTAAATAGTTACTTACCAGTGATTTAGTTCAGTCATCTTCGTGTGCATCCTATATAATTTGGGGGAGGAGAAGATGGGGAAGGCTGGGGTTGGGAGAATGTACTAGTAATCCTTAATAACTAATGTTGATTTAGTGTTTACTATGTGTGAAGCACTCAGCTGAGCGTTTTATATGTATTAACTCATGTATTGGTCACAACATGTCCCCAGAGTAAGTACTATTCTTATCTTCCTTTTGGAGATGTGAAAACTGAAATAGAGTGAAATGAAGTGATCTGAGACCATAAACTCTGTGGTCACAGAGTCTATGTGAATGACTCAGCCTAGGTGCCCACTAATATATTGCATTTCAATGGGAAGACTTTCAATAAAAGGGGCTGGCTAGAGAGTTCTCCGGAAAGAACTTCGTTTGAATAAACTTAGGTTTGTTTGGATCTGGGCTTCTTTTTCTCACGTCCGGAAACTACAAATTCTTGGTAATCCTTGAAGATATCTCAGTAATATACTTTTCGAAGAAAAAGACATTCAAGAGTAGTGAATTATCTGGAATGCCGACATACTAAAGCTTTCTGGAAGGGGGAAAAGTGGGTGGAACGCTGGGGTGGCCATCAGATCATCTCACTTTGTGGGAAGCCACATCAGAAGTTCAATTGTTGAGCATGGAATTGTGTCCCACGTTTTCGAGAGGGCTGTTTCGTGGCCCTGATAAGATCTGGTGAAATGCTCTAATTCCATGACAGGGAAGCCCTCTTTAATACCGAGAATTTTGGAGACCTCCAGATTCTGAGTGTTTTACTCTGGGTGTTCACTGAGAAGTTCTTCCGTGTAGTTACAAAGACGATGAAAATTGTCAGACACACTGCTTCCCTGCACCCAGCCTTTTGCACACTCATACTCCAAACCCTGGATCTCCTTCCCTCCTCAGGAGTGCTGTCCCAGTGATTTGGGAGAAGTGTGTCTTTGGCCTTTGGTATTCGTTTTATAAAACTCACACTCAAATATCTTTTTTAAGGGTCTCAGACACCTCTAGCCCTCTCTGAAGGAAAACATAAATAGATAAATAAATAAATGTGATTGCACGTTTATATATACAGTTTTTCTTTCCCCCCAGACCAGATTGATGTAAAAGAATACCGTTGTTTTGCAGTAAATGACATAACCAAGCTGGAGCAAATTTTATTTGAGTAGATGTTAGTCATTACCAAAGCAACATGGTTTTCCAATTGTACCTTGAACAATAGAATATTAATATGATATTATAAATTTCTTTTAAAATTTATTACTTTGAATTCTTTCAGATTGACATTAACACTCTCCTGTCCAATGGATCTCAAGAATTTTCCAATGGATGTACAGACCTGTACTATGCAACTGGAAAGCTGTAAGTAGGAACAACTTCCTTTTTCTGAATACTTTAAAAAAAGAGAGTAGATGTATATTTGATGAGCTATATAGATAATTTATTTTGTCATTGTTTTTGTCTAACATTTACTAAATGGGCATGTTATCCTCTACATAGTATGGAAAGGAATGATGTCTGTCAGCACATGCACTCTATACTGTGATAAAGAAGTAAATTCAGGACTAGAAATAACATTTTTTAAGCTTGAAAAACAGCTATTCTCTCTATACAAATCAAAGATAAAAAGGATGATGACCATTAAAGACAAACTACCATTCTTTTTAATGGAGTGTCTGCTGTAGTCCAAGCATTTTGAATATATTATTTCTCATACTCACAACAAAGATGTTGTTATCCCCATGTTTCCACATATGGAAATGGTCACTTTGAGTGATTTTGCCCCAATTTATGGAGGTGGTAACAACAAACCATCTGGCTTCAAAGGCTGTGCTTACTCTGAACCGTTTTGTTGACTCCTCAGTATTTACTCAGAGAGTACACTGCTGGCTGTGTTGTGTGTTATCTCCGGAGAAAAGCCATTTCTCACACTTTATCAGAGATTTATCCAAGCTTATAGGCGTTTCTTTAAATTTCTTCTTTCAAAGTGGATCCGTGTGCATCACGGATTAAATGTTAACACACGAAAACTTAAGGTCCTTCTGTTTTTCTGCACTTATCTATAGAATCAGCCCAAACTTAATTGGTTTTCAGTGTTTAATGCCATACAGAAAGTAAGCATTATGCAATATTTTTCTTATACTATGTTATATCAAGAAAAAAAATTTCTGTTTGACATATTCCTTGAGAAAAAATTTGCAGGTGGATCTTCAGACTTGCAGGCCTCAGAGGCCAGGTCTGTAGTGCGGGGGAGCTGCCACTAGATGGCGTGCCTATGTCGTGGGGGGATGCAACCCGCCCTCCACATTTGGTGATTCTTATTAAAGTGAGGAAGTGGGAATACCCGTTTCTCTGATAATATCGCCTTCTTGTTAAATTCAAATGCATTACTTTTATACGTAGTTCTTAAATATTAATCATACTCATGGACAAATTACTAAATTAAATGAAAGGAAAATAAAAATCTAGTTTTAGTTGGGGGAGCTATTTATCAAAAAATGCGGGGTGGTGGTGGGGAGAAAGACAGGATTCCCAGCAGTGTGCATTTCTAACTGTTCCAGGAAGGCATTTTTAAAAATTAATTAATTAATTCGTTTATTTATTTTTGGCTGCATTGTGTCTTCGTTGCTGCGCGCGGGCTTTCTCTACTTGCCGTGAGCGGGGGCTACTCTTCATCGCGGTGTGTGGGCTTCTCATTGCGGAGGCTTCTCTTGTTGCGGAGCGCGGGATCTAGGCACAGTTGTGGCGCGCAGGCTCAGTAGTTGTGGCTCACGGGCTCAGTAGTTGTGGCGCTTGGGCACTAGAGTGCAGGCTCAGTAGTTGTGGTGCACGGGCTTAGTTGCTCCGCGGCACGTGGGATCTTCCCGTACCAGGACTCAAACCCATATCCCCTGCACTGGCAGGTGGATTCTTAACCACTGTGCCACCAGGGAAGTCCCCAGGAAGGCATTTTGAGGACAGGCTTCTTGGTTGCAAAATTAGGTACATGGGAGAGTAATCGAGAAAAAAAATCGTATGAAAAATAGTCTAAGCCACACTGGTTCCCTAATTACTAAACCAAGGATGCTGGATGTTATCCAATAGTGAGGAGCTATTCAAGATGTAGGAGCAAGAAAATGAGTTGGTCAATATTATGCTGTTAAAGATTCTCTCAGCCAGAGGAACCAAGGTTATTTAAGAAGGTTTCATAATATTCCAACAAAAAGAATAAAAGTAGGGACAAAAAGGAACAATGTGGAAGGTAGGAACAGTACAGGTTGATGCTGTAGAGAAGGCAAAATGTTATCTTTAACTTCTTAGGCTCTTCAGGCTGGGCCTGAAAATTAAACGGAGATAGGATAGATTAACAGAAGAAAAGGATACCCATTTATTTAATGTTAAGTTTTACATAACATGGGATCTGTCATAAGGAGATGACTAGTCAAGGAAGTGGCCAAAACTAAATGCTTTTATACCAGGTTGAACAAAGAGAAGCAATTGTGGAAAAGTACCTAGACTGTGTGGGGAAACTAAAGGAAGATGAGAATTATTTTAAAAAGTCTGTGTGTACAGAATTCTCTTGGCTTTGATTCCTGGTACGGGGAGCACGTCTTTCATGTGGGAGTTTTTATCTACAGTTTTCAGGAAGAAAAGGGGAGATTAGAATGGTCTTCTTGCATCTGCTGTTTTTCAGGTGTCTTTAGCTCAAAATAATCCTTCTACTAAAGTGGCATATTTAGGGGGCGCATATTCCACCATTCTTCATTCACTTCAATACAAAGTGGATGCAAAGGCTCTGGGAATGAGTGAGTCAGAGCTAAAGAGCTTTCATAGGTAGAATCGTTTTGGAAATACTGACAGAGAAAGAAAACATAGAATAAGTAAATGTTAAAGGGAATATTGATAAATCCAATCTTAATATATTTAAAGTTCAGGAAATTTAGGTATAAAGCAAAGGGAAGAGTGAGACCTGAAGACATACTATTAACAGCCATCTACAGAGTGGTTCAACCATAACGAAATTTTTAATGGAGAGAATGCACAGATGAAAACAAACACACAAAGAAGAGCCAACGCTTAACAAAGGCCTTCATTTCGAGGTTGTTGGAAGGAATTCCAGTCAAGGGGTTTTCATAGATAGCAAATTAAAATCGCAATCATGCAATCTCAAAAGAGAAGGGGCAGCTGAGGAGATCTGTTTAAGAGCATCAAGTGCTGTGAAATGGTGTTTTCTTTTAAAAGTACTTGAAAAAAGTCATTTTTATTGATGATAAAGACAAATGTGATTAGAATGATGAGGCTCAAAGCTGGATTCCAAGAAGTTTTAAGAAAAAGGGGGAACATGATGAGCAAGTGGTAGCAGTGAGTGAAATCCATAGTTCCATGAATGTTCGTTATTACAGATGAGAGGGTACAGGGCCTAAGGACAGCTGGCTCACTGGACTTCGTTAGAATAAGGAAAGCTTCCTGGGCTATTTTGCAGACACACATGTTCATGTAACAAGACCTTTCATCTTCCTGCCTTTCCCAGAACATTTCCAATCAATCAAAAACCCAATGCGGGAAAGCAAAGCCTCTTGTTGCCTCTGCCTTCTTTCTTTCTTTCTTTTTTTTTTTTTTGCGGTACGCGGCCCTCTCACTGTTGTGGCCTCTCCTGTTGCGGAGCACAGACTCCGGACGCGCAGGCTCAGCGGCCGTGGCTCACAGGCCCAGCCGCTCCGCGGCACGTGGGATCTTCTCGGACTGGAGCACGAACCCGTGTACCCTGTATCGGCAGGCGGACTCTCAACCACTGGGCCACCAGGGAAGCCCCACCTTATTTCTTAATTTCTTTATCAAGAGTTGGTAGACTGCCTCAAGTATCCCTTTCATATTTCAGTCATTAAACACTTCCTGCCCCCTTATTAGAAATTAATTTAGCTAACAATAGAGATACTGTTTGTTAAACTCTTTTAGCAGATGCTAAGAAAAACCTGTCAAAGTAAAAGCTACTGAAGTCAAATTCTTCAAGGTGTTTTTCTTAAACTGTTCTATTTATTTATTTATTTATTAGCATCTTTATTGGACTATAATTGCTTTACAATGTTGTGTTAGTTGCTGCTGTATAACAAAGTAAATCAGCCATAGGCATACATATATTCCCATATCTACTCCCTCTTGCGTCTCCCTCCCACCCTCCCTATCCCACCCCTCTAGGTGGATACAAAGCACCGAGCAGATCTCCCTGTGCTATGCGGCTGCTTCCCACTAGCTATCTATTTTACATTTGGTAGTGTATATATGTCCATGCCACTCTCTCACTTCGTCCCAGCATACCCTTCCCCCTCCCCATGTCCTCAAGTCCATTCTCTACATCTGCATCTTTGTTCTGTCCTGCCCCTAGTTTCATCAGAACCGTTTCTTTTTTTTTTAGATTCCATATATATGTGTTAGCATATGGTATTTGTTTTGTTTTTCTGACTTTCTTCTGTAGTCTTTTAACCTATTTTTAAAAAATGACCGAAGATGAAATTTTTTAAAGATGATAATGGAATACATTTGAATGATGTGTTCAAAATCAGCAAATTTGTACTAGAAAATTTGAACAATAGAAAAACAAAGAGGGACATGCTTTAACCTTGACTCACAACTGTCCTCACGTGTATTAACCCTTTTGGAGTTTGTCTATGTGTGTGTGTGTGATTATGTATATATGTGATTATATGTGACCAAATATGATTCCAGTTCACTTTTAGAACTAAATGTGAATCTATAATTTACTAATAAATCTCAAACTTGTTTTGAACTTAAATGTATGCTCAGCCCACATTTTCTCTTTAAATAAGTATTACTTTTACGATTTCCTCCTGGTATAAAGTATACCTGATGACAGGGGTGACCATATAATTTATCATCAAAATGGGGACACTTAGGAGAATAAATGAAGGGCACCACATGTATTTAAATTTTTATATCTTTGTAATATATATTTATTAACTGACATGATTTTTATATTAGTGGATGAGTATCGTTCTAGGTTTTTAAATATAATCCTTCCTAAATCAAACCAAACTAATTTGGAATCATCTTTAAAGCTGCAATTTTGGTACTAAATTTGAAATTGTTGACACCATTAGTGGATCTTGCTATATAGACTATAATGGTTTTATTAAGAAAATAATCTGTGTGCAGTTGAGATAGCTAAAGTACTTGATAATTTTAGAGCTTAATTTTACTTTTCTTTGTATTGAAGTAGGTAACTAGTTCAGCCCATATATTTTTACAGATATTGTCTCTGTCTTTGTCTTGAGTACGTTTTATCAAAAAATGTTTTTATAGAACAAAACTCAGTCAAATTAGTTGCTTTTATTCAGGAATCTTTTAAAATTCTTCACCTAATTCAC